CGGAAAGCTGGGGTCACTTAATAACTGCATGTTTTGCTTAACGACTGTGGAATTACCTCTGATACTTGTTTAAAAAAAAATTCTTGATCAAATTCTTTATGAAATCCCCCAAAATAAGAAAAAACAAAATAAAACTGCTTGCAACATATTTGTTGCAATTATAAGTTATCAGTATGATTATATTATTGAAAGATAAGGTAAAGTAAGGTAAGATTTAATGTATTAATGTTAATAATAAGATATATTGTCATTTTTTACTGTGGGCACACTGGCCCACATTAAAAATATAAGTCTGTTGCCTGCTCTCAAAAGAAAGTATATATCTACCCATGTGCATACATAACACACATATACACATGCTGTACACACACAAACACATACGCATACATATACATATTAATCACTGTCATTTTGAATACATAACAGAAGGAGGAAGCTTTAGAATTCATTAGGTTAATACTGTATGGAACAAAACTGAATCTGAATGTTCTGCTTCGGATACCATGGAGCCTCCTCCCGGAAGGTAACAAGGAAAACAGGCCATGAGGAGGATGCAGGCAATCTTGCAGACCCTGCTCAAGCAACGCTTATGTGCTATGTTCTGGATGGAAGGGAGGGAACTGCCAATGATATTTTCAGCCATCCTCACCACTCCTGTCTGAAGCAGTGATGCTTCCAAACCAGACTGTGATGCTGTATGACAGGATGCTCTCGATCATCCCTCTGTAGAAAGTAGTAAGGACAGGGAAAAGAAGATGTACTTTTCTCATGTGATGTAGAAAATACAGGTCACTGCTATGGCCACTTTACTAGTGTGTTACTGTTGAGCGACCAAGCTAGTCTACTCGTTAGCTGCACACCCAGAAACTTGATGCTGATAACCACCTCCACAAGTGAATTATTAATACACAGGGGTGTGTGGCTGTGCCATTGTGAGTTTATGTGATAATATCTGAGCATGTACATACAGAGCCACATTGTTGTAGTGGTTAAGGTGCCAGGGCTAGAAACTGTAATATTGTGACTTTTAGTCGCACCTTGATCATGACACCAGTTGCGTGACCTTGGACAAGTCACTTCTCTCAGCCCTAGGAAGAAGAAGACAGTGAAAAATGCTGCCAAGAGAATTGCCAGATATCAATATTATCTTCAAAGAAGAAGTTTTAACTGTATGACCAACTAATATACCAACTAATATACTATCTAGTTTCTATACTTTAACTAAGGAGCAAGTAAACATGATAATATGTCACTTCTATACATGTGTGCAATTTACTTGAATAGTTATATAGGGTTAGACAAAATTGTACTTGGTTTGGCAAAAGCTGAACAATTTTTTTTCCTGCACACGGCATTCAGAAATTAGAGGCAACATTGGTGGTGAGTCATTGCTACTATGTCTTCCTTTATCAGTGGATTAACTCATGTCTTTCTTTCCAAAGCTTTATGAGAGACAATTAAAATCACACTGCCTCTGGAAGTCTTTTCACAGCAGGCTAATTCTCATGTGTAAATGTGCCTGAAGAATCAGTTGATGAAGGGAACATTTCAGCTCAAAAAGCAGAGACAGCTTGCCAGTTGGAGTCTGTAAAATTAACATGAGATAGGAGAGTGAGGTATGAATCAGCAGTGACATGGCTGATAAATAGTCTTGTACAGTTTAGGCAATTTCAATAAAAATTAACTTTCAGATTCCAATTTTTGAAAGTAATCAGTCCACTCTACTTCTCCAGTTTAAGTGTTGAATCCAAATTTGGATACCACTGCATCAGAAGAATGAAGCAAATCAGAAGAGATGCTTTGTGGTTGATCAGTGAACTGAAAACATGGAGCAATTAAGGAAACTGAGTTTAATGTTAACAAGAGAAGACTGAGAATGAATATGATAGCACTTCCCCAGTTCACTAAAGGCCCGTGATTTATTTTCTGATCTTCCCAGAGTATGTGGAATAATGGCCTCTAATTACATGAAAGGAAATCTCTATTGAATGTTGACAACGATAATAATTGTTGACCATTAATCAAGGGCTTTAATTAAAATTTAGCCAGTAAACTCTTATGACTAGTACATTCGATCTTTTTTTCCCGCCTATTCTTCCTCTAAGGTTCCTATTTGATCTAACCTTCTAAGATCTAAAGTAACATCCTACTTATTTCTTAGACCATTTCTACTTATCCCTTCTTATGAAAAACTCTGCATATGTGTATAATCTTATCTGATTTTTGGATTATCAATCACAAATATAATAATGTAGTCCAATTGTGGGGTGTCATGGGACAAGATAACAAAGTATGCCTTCTTCATTTGGTCATGTTAATAACTGGGAGGTATGATTAGCTTATCTTTTTGGGAGTGATCTGGACAGCCATCTATGTTGAGTTCTTTAATTTGGTCCCTTGAAATGAGCAAGGAGTTCGGCATGAACAATAAATGCCCCTCCCCCACTCTTAAAATTCTAATATTGTAGAAATTTATAATTATTACAAATTTAGACATTACATTTGAAGTAGTATGAGAGTGAATTAGGTCATTTGCTGACAATGAGAGCATATTTTTTGCATATGTTTACTTCATAACAAAGAGATTTCTAGGATCCTAGAATTCTGAAGTTTAAAGTACTATTGTTTGATACAATTAAATGTTTACTTTAAGCTTACTTTTTGAGAAAGTAAGATTGTTCTCTAATCTTAAAGAAAATTTATCCCTGAAGTACAATAATAATTCAACATGAGGATGAAAATGATAATTTTGTAAAAATATATCCTGCATTAAAATCTTGGTAAGGTCAATCAGAACTTTGGGGGGAAATGGTAGCATTTGAAGTTAACAATTTTAAGACACTAAAATATCATTGTATTAAGATCTTTTCTCGTGGTTACACCTGGGAGGAAGATAATTTAGAATACAGATGTGCACTGAATTGTGTCCAATTGTGAAGTTCTGTGACATCACTTATGAGTGCATGGACTGACCTGAAATATCCATTCATTGACCATCTCTTTTGTGGATTGTGAGATGGCAGGGGAAATTTCCAACTATTGTCACTGAGCAAACAATAGTGGGAAGTTGCTTAGCAGACAGATGTCAGTTGAATCAAACTGGCACTGACTCATGACATGGGAAAACTTTTAGAAGCAACAACAAAAAGTTCCATGACATCTTAAAAGTCTTTAGGAAAAATTCAAGAACAATGCTGAAGGAAAAGGACAGGAGGTGATGTGTATCCCAATCTTTTTCTGACCATCCCAAAGGTATTCATTTAGCTGTCATTGGAGAGAAGAGTGCTGTTGTAAACACTTGGGAAACACGTCCAGCTAATCATAACTTATCATGGATTAAGCTGCCAGGGTGGTGGGTTAGAAAAATTATTGATAAGTTGTAGAACATAGAAAGCTCCTGGGTCTATCATTGGCATTGGCAATTAAAAAGGATATATTCAGGAGATAGGAAAAATTTCAAGTCTCTAGAATATCTCCATAGGTTAGTGTCAGCAACCTTAACTTAGATGGATTAAATGGTCTGACTTGATCAAAGTCAGTAGTGCCTAACATCTGAGGAATTAAGGACTCAAGAGTTTGGTTTCTTGGGTACTTCCAGAAAATATGAAACCTTTTTCTGAAGGATCAGGGCTGACATTTTTTCAGCTTATATTTATATTAAGGATGAGGATGGAAAGAGGAGGCATATGGGAGCTGAAGTGCTTCCATCCTTTCCTTTAAATACCACCTCAGCTCCAACATTTTCTTGAATCATTTTTCAGGAATGTTGAGAAGTTAGAAGTTTTGATGAGAGCAGGGGAAAATTGGTAAGAAATATTTTTGGTAAATGCTGGGGGTGGGGAAGGCACTGAGTTCTACAAATGGGGAGCTTTTTTCAGCTGGTTTATATCTCTGTTCCCACAATATGCTTTACTGGGTCAAAAGGGAAATAGTATGTTGTGGAAACTTGAGTAAGTTGAATTTAATTTCCAGATGGTTGAATTTAGCCTGAAAGAATTCAGTCTTCAATAGAGTTAAGCCCACTTAGCCATTTCATGGGAATATGCAACCCCAATTATGTGGCACATTTTACATATCTAGTCTTCTCATAGAGAACTAAATATCCTGTTTTCAATTAAAAATAACCCTTCTGGTGCCCCATTGCTGATTGAGCAATAGTGTCTGCCCAAGGTGTTTACCCCAATATTGATCTAGCTAAGTGTGTTATACAAACAGAATCGATGAAAAGTGGCAACGGCCAGAGTTAAAGATTGGTAGAAAATGTATTCCAGAACATACATCCATACAATTCCTGGTTTTATTTCACTTCATAGTACCTCATCCATTGTAAAATAATTATTAAATTATAAAAATAATTTTAACAGTTTTAACAGTATTTGAATATCTGAATCTCACACATATACACAGGCAACAGGCAGATCCTTTTCTGATTTCTAAAAAAATACTATAGGAGAACCAATTTGGTGTAGTGGTTAAGGCACACAAAGCCACATGAAGGACCTTGGGCCAGTCCCTCTCTCACAGACCCAAGAAGCAGACTTCTGAAAGGCCTTGCCCAGAAAACTGCAGGGACTAGTCCAAGCTGTTGCCAGGAATCCAAAACTGACTTGAAGATGCACACACAAAAGATAGTATGCTTCATTTCATTGATACAGTGTGCAACAAATATTCTATATCTATCTCTCTATCATCTATCTTTCTCTCTCACTCTCTCTCTGTATCTATCTTTATCTCTCTCACTCTATCTCTTTATATATCATTATCTATCTATCTATCTATCTATCTATCTATCTATCTATCCATCTATCTCCTATCTTTATCTCTCTCACTCTCTATCTCTGTACCTATCTATCATCTACCTGTCTATCATCTATCTTTATCTCTCTCATTATCTCTGTATCTGTTTATTTATCTATCTATCATCTATCTATCTGTCTATCATCATTTTTAAATGTTTAAAGTTTTGAATATTGATAACTCCTCTTTGTGATTATTAACAGAGACTAATCATCTCACAGCCTTATATAAGAAAGAGGAGACCATCCACGTTTGGGAAAATGGCTACATCCAGAGCCCTCGTTTCCCACACAATTATCCCAGGAATCTCTTGCTGACATGGAAGCTACGTTCACCAGGAAATGCTAGAATACAGCTGGTCTTTGATCATCAGTTTGGACTGGAGGAACCAGAAAATGACATCTGCAGGTAAGCCAATCAAAGCACTGAGGAGATCCAGTGTGGTTCATGATTGCTCACTTGGTAGAACAACTTCAAGGCAGGCAACATTAAATTAGCCAAGTTTCATAGAGATGTTTTAAAAAATTAAGAACTGCAGTCTGACCAAACTTGTTTTCTTATTGATGGAAGATTTGAGATGCTCACCCAAGCTGAAGGAAATTGTATATCAAACAATTTCCACCGATGCCTGCTCAACATCGGGTGGAATTGCAAAGTCCCTCCACCAGTAGCTAAACAGTTGTGGTTTTAAATGTAGCAGAAGGGGGAGGGGAGAGAGATTTAATTTGCCTAATGACATTTCCCAGCCATTATTTCTAACTAATTCTTGTCTTTTCATGCATTCATTTTTTATTTTATTTTGTAGTCTTGCTTTCCTCATCTCTATCAATTATGAAGTGTTTGCAGGTTTTATAGTGTTGCAAACTACTTTGCAAAGAAATAGAAATATATCTCTTTTCATAAATGAGACCATTAATTAAAAAGGTGGGCAGAAACTGCATTATCAAGGTAAAATGTACTTTTGAATTAAAGTTAAATTTAATTAGATGTTCACTTAGACTCTGGATCTCACCCACTTCTTTATCCTGGACTAGCCTATTTTTTGAAATGGGATCCCAGTTTTGCTCTTTTATACTACATATTATCAAATGTATTTTATTTCTGTGAAGCAGCTGAGAAAGCAAACTGTGGATGAGAAATGATATAAGGTATGAACAATGATTATTTTTATGCAGCACATGTAATGTTTATATGAATAAAAATATGATTGGAGAACACAAAGGAACTATATTCCAAGTTTTCTATTTAATACCTCTTTTGCATTCAAAGTATATGGGTGAATTTTATCCAATGCTATGTCAATAAGATAATAATAATAATAATAATAATAATAATAATAATAATAATAATAATAATAATAATAATAATAATAATAACAACAACAACAACAACAACAATAATAATAACAATAACAACAACAACAATAATAATAATAATAATAATAATAAAGTTGGAAGGGACCTTGGAGGTCATCTAGTCCAATCCCCTGCTCAGGCAGGAAACCCTACTGTATACCATTTCAGACAAATGGCTGTCCAGTCTCTTCTTAAAAACTTCCAGTGTTGGAGCATTCACAGCTTCTGGAGGAAGATTGTTCCACTGATTAATTGTTCTATCAGGAAATTTCTCCTTTGTTCTAGGTTGCTTCTCTCTTTGGTTAGTTTCCATCCATTGCTACTTGTTGTGTCTTCAGGTGCTTTAAAAAATAGCTTGACTCCCTCTTCTTTGTGGCAGCCCCTGAGATATTGGAACACTGCTATCATGTCACCCCTCGTCCTTCTCTTCATTAAACTAGACATGCCCAATTCCAGCAACCGTTCCTTATATTTTTTAGCCTCCAGTCCCCTGATCATCTTTGTTGCTCTTCTCTCTACTCTTTCTAGAGTCTCAACATCTTTTTTACATCGTGGTGACCAAAACTGGATGCAGTATTCCAAGTGTGGCCTTCCCAAGGCATCTTAAAGTGTTATTAACACTTCACGTGATCTTGAGTCTATCCCTCTGTTAATGCAGCCTAGCAGTGTGTTGGCTTTTTTGGCAGCTTGGTGTCATCTGTAAATTTAATGTGTTCCCCATCTATCCCCTCATCCAAATCATTGATAAAGATATTGAAGAGCACTGGGCCCAGAACAGAGCCCCGGGGCACTCCACTACACACTTCCCTCCATGTAGATGCAGTTCCATTAAGGACTACATGCCGAGTATGGCCAGTCAGCCAGCTACAAATCTATCTGGTGGTGACGCTGTCTAATCCACATTTTTCTATGTTATCAAGTAGTAGGTTGTGGTCTACTTTATCAAATGCCTTATTATATCCACAGCATTCCTCTGGTCCACTAATTTTGTCACCTGGTCAAAGAATGCAATAAGATTTGTCTGGCATGAACTGTTTTTGACAAACCCATGTTGGCTTTTAGTAATGACTTTGTTTGCCTCTAGGTGTTCGCTGATTCATTGCTTGATTATCTTTTCCAGAATCTTTCCAGGTATTGAGGTCAGGCTGATAGGTCGTAGTTTCCTGGATCCATTTTTTCCCCTTTTTTGAAGATTGGAACTACATCAGCTCTTTTCCAGTCCTCTGGTAGTTCCCCAGTGCTCCAGGATCTTTGAAAAATATAGTTCAGTGGCTCTGAGATCACATCTGCCAGTTCCTTCAGAATCTTGGGGTGTAATCCATCTGGTCCTGGTGATTTGAACTCGGCTAGGGTGGACAGGTGCTCACTTACCATTTTTTTTGCCTATCTTAACTTGTGTTTCTAATCTGTTTTTTACAATACTGTTTTTGATAGGTTGGACTGTTTTTTCCCTTTGTGTAAAGACGCATGCAAAAAATGAGTTTAGTTCTGCTTTGTTCCTGTTGCTTGTCACTGTCTTTCCACTTTCTCCCACTAATGGACCAATCATTTCCTTAACTTTTTTCTTGTTTTTTACATGTTGACAGAAGCTTTTTTGTTATTTTTTTTACTTTTGTCGCAAGCCTTAGTTCATTTTGAGCCTTAGCTTTCCTCACTTCATCTTTTCAGGCTCAGGCTATTTGCTGATATTCTGCCTTAGTTATGTGCCCCTCTTTCCACTTTTTATGCTTGTCCTTTTTGTTTTTCAGTTTATCAGAGGGTTCTTTATGCAGCCATGCTGGTTTCTTTTGAGAGCTGTTATTTTTCTTCTTCATTAGTATTGTGCTAGACTGGGCTTTTATAATCTCACTTTTCAAAATTTTTCAAGCTTCTTGAGTTGTTTTCCCCTTGAGGATTCTCATCTATTGAATCCTTCCAAAGCTCTCTCTAACTTTATTGAAATTAGCTCTCTTAAAGTCCAAGATTCTAGTTTTACTGTGTTCTATTGCTTGTGCTTGCATAATGTTGAATTCCAATATTGCATGACCACTCCCCCCCCCAAAGGTTCCTGTGGGTTCAACGCCTTCTATCATTTCATCTCTGTTAGTGAGAATTAAATCCAATATGGCTGATACCCTGGTTCCCTTCTCTACTTTTTGGGATACAAAGTTGTCTGCTAGGTTTGTCAGGAATCTGTTTGATCTTCCACTTGGTGCAGAGTTTGTCTCCCAGTTGATGTCAGGGTGATTAAAGTCTCCCATTACTATTGTGATGTGCTTCTTACATACCTTAGTTAATTGATTAGCAAAAAGTTCATCTATTTCCTCTGGTTGGGTGGCCTATAGTATACACCTATGCAATGTCATTTTTTCCCCTTTATATTGACCCAAATGCATTCAAGACAGTTTTCGTCATTGTTGTGCTCTATTTCTGTGGAGATGTAGTTATTTCTTATATAGAGAGCAACTCCACCTCCTCTTTTATTTGGTCTGTTTCTTTTAAATAATTTAAATCCCTCTAGCTATGTGTTCCATTTTGGGGTTTCATCCCACCAAGTTTCCGTAATGGCAACAATATCATATCTTCCCTCATTTACCTGAATTTCTAGTTCACCCTGTTTATTGCTCATACTCTGTGTGTTAGTGTATAGACATTTGAGTCCTTTATGACCAACCTTGCATTTACTTTCTACATAACCTTTTTTTTGTTCCTGATTTCCCCTATTTTCTTACCACCTGTTTGATTAGTGCACTTGGTGTGGCACTCACTATTAAAAGCTTGATTTTGCTTGACAGCTAGGTTGATATTCTTGTCCACACACACCTCTATATTACATGCACTGATAACCCTATAATTTGTAGATTGCCGGGGACAGGAATGTTCTGTATCAATTAACTCACTGTCCCCATTGTTCAGTTTAAATATTCTCCAGAAAATCTATGAATTTATTGCCAAGTAACTCAGTCCCTTTCCACTTTTTCATTGGACCAGCTGCAGACATTGTGACTAATATAAGCAAAGTGTTTCCCTTTACACCACTCCTTTAGTCACATATTGAATTCTGCTATACGGTGGCCTTTTCCATTTTGTTCCTTATACACTGGTTAAAACCTCTGAAAAAGCAAGCCTACAACCTATCCTGCTAAGTTCCTACCCCAAACACTGGAAATCATTCTGCACAGAGAATACATCTTTTGGGGACAGATCGTTAGTGCCAAGATATACAATAGCATCCATATCACAGTCCTTGCTGACATTCTTGACTATCGTAAAAGTATATTATCGACACTGTCTGAAAATCCCACCATCAACTTCCCAGAGAACTGAGCAGACTTTTGAAGTTGGGCTGTAGTCATTATTTTTATTTTCTAAAAATGTCCCTGTGATTTCCAGTGCCAACATGGAACTGACTGATGCTTCAGAACAAAAGATGATGATGATGTCTCATTAAAGATGATGCTAGAAGCTTCAGGAGTCATGGTGGTGCAGTAATTAGAATACAGTATTGCAGGCTATCTCTGCCCATTGCCAGGAGTTCGATCCTGACCCACTCAAAGTTGACTCATCCTTCCATCCTTCTGAGGTTGGCAAAATGAGAAGCCAGCTTGTTAGGAGCAATATGCTGATTCTGTAAACCGCTTAGAGAGGGCTGTAAAGCACTATGAAGTGGTGTATAAGTCTAAGTGCTATTGCTAGAGGCTGATTTTGGCTTTCTAGAATCCCAGATTTCCCATTAATTTTTTAAATAAAAGGATCGTTAAAATGTCAAATGTTCACTCTCATCTGCTGCCTTGCATCACTGTGTAAATTACATTTCTCTGCAAGATTGATAATCTATCACCTTCCCTCCAGATATGATTTTGTGGAAGTGGAGGATATTTCCGAAATTAGCACTCTCATCCGAGGACGGTGGTGTGGATATAAAGAAGTTCCTCCCAAAATTACATCAAAGACAAACCAGCTGAAGATCACCTTCAAATCAGATGACTTCTTTGTGGCTAAACCAGGATTCAAGATTTACTATTCCCTGGTGGTGAGTAACATGATGGTGGCTGGAGAGGAAACAAAGGACTGCAGTAGAGTACAAGAAATGATTGGGGAAGGAAGAAAGAATAATAAACTTCCAAATTAAGATAATGAATACTACTTTCCTTTGGGGAATATGTAATATGATCATTTATGATGAAATCAGCAGAAGAGGAAAACTTTAATTAAAATTCACTACTCTTCATTTTAATAACATATATTGGAATACTATACATTTGGGGCTAGAATAATCAGGTGAAGGCAGCGACATAGATTTCCCTTCCCCCCCTCAAAAAATACTGTGAAAGTGACACTCTTATTCAGTTCCAACATGATCTCATTTGAAGTCAAAGGTGGGGAGGAAAATGACTTCAAGTGTTGAAGCTCCTGAAGCTAAGCAAAACACACACAGGTCATTTATTTATTTAGAAAATTTATATAGCTGCCTATTCACTCACAATGACTCTAGGCAGCTTACAAATAGTAAAAACACAATGAAGAAAAAAAATAAAAATAAAAAATAACACACATACCCCCAGTGACAGCACACAATTAAATGAGCCATTTGATAGGCTCCATCGCACTCTGGATTCCCCCCCCCTGCCCATTGGCAAACCCTTCTGGGCCTTCAGGGCCTTCCAAAAGACTATCAAAGTGGGGGCCAGTCTAATTTCAGAAGGGATATTCCAGAGGGAGGGAGCCACAATGGAGAAGGCCCTTCTTCTGGGTCCTGCCAGATGAGCCTCCTTAAGGGATGGGACCTGCAACATTCTTTTCCTCCTGGCTCTAATGGGTCAGGAGGATGTGACTGGCCAAAGATGGCCCCTCGGATGCAGATAGGGCTCAACAAATTATTATATTTTGAATACACTGTGTGAAGATCTGGATCTCCACAGAAATAATCTAATGCTGGGAAAGTTGGGAGGAAAGGGAATTTCAGCAGCAAGGGTTGTGGGCTCAGTTACAGTGAAAAAGGGTGCATTGTTGGAAGAAGTGAAGGGCCAGGTTAAGGACATATTATCATAATAGAGAAAATCTATCTATGAGTCAACACCAACCTGACAGCACATAATCAGTCAGGTGCTCAGCATGATTATCTGGTGGATAATGTAGGCTCTGTGGGAGTGGCACAATGGCCTAGAGATGAAGATACTCCCGTCCTACTCGGAAGGCTGAAAGTTCAATCCTAGGCAGCGGCAGATGTTTCTCTATCCAGGCATTAAAAAAAATATCTACTGTGAACTCTGCATAGGCATCAGGAATGGTATCTGGCCAGTAAATGCTCAGCTCCACTCAGTTGTCGTGACTCCACCCCAAAACAAGGGATTAAAGGCTCATAAAAAGAAGAAAAATGTAGGTTCTGTAGCTTCTTTTCAGAATAGAAGCAAATTGTTGGAATATCCTCAGTATCTTACTCAGACTGAAAACATTGTTTAAGGAAGCAACATTGTTCTTCACTGTAGAACTTTTATTTACTTATTTATTAGATATATGTGCTGCCCATCTTTGTCACATGACTCTGGGTCACTTACAATCGGAAAAGAGGAAATGTGGACATACCAGCTTACTTTTCCCAATCCCGTAATATCAACCCACCATACAGAATTGTTGAGTGACATGTATGTGAGAAATACCTTCCTATGACTGTATATTAGAATACAAATATAATAAATTGTGATAGATACTCCAGAAGGGAAAGCAGTTGATCAAGCAACCCAAAAATGAGATTTATGCTTTAGTTGTTTGCAGCTAGAAATTTATTTTAAAAATAAACATGCCAATTAGCAGCTGTCTGTAGACAGAATTCTTATGAGCCAGGTAATTATATTAGTGTCACAGTAATGACACTCTGCTTCTCATAATACACATTTCAAGGCATGTTGAAACCTGAGAAAACATCTTACTGGGGAAAAAAAACCCAGCTGCTATTTAGTTTTCTGCACTTTTTTCTTTTTTTACTTTATGGATTTCTATTATGAACGGGCAGAGAAATTCTTCTGCCTTTTCCTGCAGTTGTCCTCCTGTTTGGTCAGAGGGTTTGCTTTAGAATTTATTCCAAAGGAGAGGAGAAATTCTGAGTTACAAGGAACTGTGACTTTCTTGTCTTTCGTTGCATCATTCTCTCTTTATCCGTCTCAATGACTGTAACTTATGTGAGAATGACCTTGGGAGATAAGAGAAAGAACTGCAAAGTAGGCAGATAAAAGGCACCTGAGCTGGCAAGAGAAATGGGGATTTGACAAATGTATCATAAGGAACTCTCCCCAGTTTCCTGGACTGTATAGGTGAGGGGGGGGGCAGATGTAATTTCAATCTTCAAAGATTCTGTGAATGTAATCTTACAATAAGGACAGAGCTAATACTTCTGAGTGTGCTTCTATCTGGACTACTTCCCCAGGTTGACCTTGTCTCCCACACTTCCATTAAGTTCCAGCAAAACAAAAAAAGTATAGTATTTTTCCCATATAGTAATGCTAAATATGATTATTAAAAAGTGAGTTATGACTTTGATAAGTTGATGAAAAATTCTTTGGAGAAATTTAAAGAAAAAATTTCTCTGCCCATACATTTGGTGAAAAATTTCAGAGGACAGTTTTTGTTTTGCTATTGCTATTGTCACTGAGGAGATGGAGTCTTCCTCTTGGACAATGTGGATGAACGGAATTGTGATCCAACTGTCAAGTACCAGGGAAATCAGGAGATCCAGGCAGTTCAAATGAGTATAAACATTTATTGCAAGCTTAAGCTCGCTACAAGAATCTGAACTACTAACAGCCAAAGGAAATTGGTGGTTGATAAGGATAAAAGAAATTCAAGGTAGGCTGGACTTAGATCTCTTGTGGGCGTGAAGGGATTCATGACTAATGATGCATTTGACCCCTCTCTCTGGCTCAGCCTGGTCATCTCCTACACCAACACATCTGCAACCTGCAGCCTGGGAAAGATTAACTTTTGTGACTATAATGACCTCTTATTTCATGGTAAATGTTGTGGGAAATTATTGGAATTACTGGAAGAATTGCTTCTTGTTATGGGCTTGATAAGGGGAAAATCCAACCCTTCTAGAGAACGTTGGAGAAATCATTCAGCTAATTTCCCTGTTCACAAACTTAGTGGAGAGTCTCAAGTGGTATTTATGTCCAACTTCCATTTTTATTACACAAGCCAGTGAGACATATATACTCCAGGAGCATTTCAAGACAATAACTAAGGAAGAGCAAATAGTATGGGAGCTTCAGTGCTGAAAAATCCAGAAGAATCCAGATATGGCCCCATTGGACTCAGAATACTTAGTTAAACAGGATATTGACATAGATCTCCAAAGCTATTCTCATGAGTTAAGTTACTATACTGTGGAAGCCTTTAATTTGAAGGCAATTTAGCAAAACAACAATTTATGATATTGCTTTCCCTGGAGTACCACAATGCATAAAAATTAAGCACTGCTGCTTTGTGTGATATTTCCAAAGGACCTCTCCTATAATTTGCCAGCTTTATGAGAAACTGTGTGCAATTAATTCAAAACCCTGGGGCTTCAGGAAACAAGAAAATATATAACTTTGCAAAAGAGCAGAGATTTGTGTGGGGGGGTTTTTCAGGAGGGGAAAATGGATGAGTTTGTTGCCAAGGGTCTGTGATGTCAAGGTTATGCATAGAAAGTCAATTTTGCTTGCCGGCAGCATTTCTAAGAGAACATGGTCCTAAGCTGCTTGGAAATTAGAAGTGCTTTTCTAGATTGTGAGACCTCTGAGCATTTCATGCACGTTTAAAGGAAGAGATCCAAACATTTCTTTTTTCTGCATGAAGTAGAAAATAATATAGAATTATCTCCATTTTCTTAATTGAATATATTCTTTCTGGGCATGCTGCAAACACAAAAGCAAACTGTTGTAATTTGATACTCTCCTGATATGATGGACTATAATTCTCACCAGTACAATCAGTTGAGAATTATGTCTGTAATACACCACTATGACTAGTAGGCTGTAGTCTGCAGAAACTGAGTGATACCACAAGCTGCTTAGATGTCTCTTTGAGTATTTCATTATGAGGAAGCTTATGCAGAAGTTGCACCAGTGCCATTTTGAAAAATTCTTCAGCATTTTTAATTGATCTACAATTTGACAAAAGCAAATTGTTTTCAAACAAGAAGAGACATTTGGAGAAACTCTCATCGGTGTAAATTCATTTATTTGTTTAAAATATTTGTATCCTGTTTTTCTTTTTTTTTAAAAAAAACACCTTCAAGGCAGCTTATAATTAAATTATTCAGGGCACGTGTAACTCTTTCGATGTACAATCCTTTTTCCAGAAGTCTGAGCCCTTCCTGTCTTGCTATATTTGAGAGACATTCCAAGGGAAGAAAACAAGAAGAAACTTCTCCCATTTGGTCTTTTAGATTGGGAAGTGAGGACAATCAGAGAGGTTTTACAGTGATAGAAAGACTTGTAACAGAAAACAGTATTACCTGAAGTTGTGTAATGGTATGTGCAAATGATCTTGGGAGACAGGAGGAAGAGCTGCAGACTAGAACAGGGCTTTTCAACCTTTTCATCGATTGTATCACTTTTAGGATATGGCAATATTCAAGTACCACCTAGCAAGGTGTCAAAAACTTGATGACCAAAAAAAAAAAAAAAACCTGTTCAAAGTTGCAATTGCACTGAAATGACTTATGACCATTTTTCACACTTATGACCATTGCAGCATGCCCAGGGTCATGTGATTTATATTTGGATGCTTGAGGAATGCCTAGTTGAGGGCTCCTTTCATGTCCCCAGCAGGAGCTAGAGCAAACCTCACCTTGTGAGCTTGCTAACTTCCAACCCAGCATCCTAACCACGTGAACCACTGTGCTCCTAAACTTATTCTGAATGAAAACATTGTTTATTGTTTTAAGAAAAAGACAAGAAGAGATATCCTCCATATTGTTGCCTAGAAAGTATCATGGATGATCCATGTAATCATCAGAACTGAGCTCAACTCAAGGGCATCTTGGCTTTGTAG